GATCGGCAGGCATTCCTCAATGCTGGAGGATAATCGGGGTTGATAATTGCAGTTGACAGATGATCAGTGATTTGATCGATGAAGACAACAACATTTGATATTTGAGTCGACCCGGCCGTAGAGATTTGCAACGTTATTTCATGGAATAAGTCAAGTACTTCAACCAGATCGCGCGCCAAGTCAAAGTCGTTCTGGTCCACAAAGTACTTGCGTTTCATACCATGCCTTTTATGACGCTGCCACTCCAGACTTCAAATTGAAATTAAATTGTTTGGTTAGATTATTATTTCTGATTGATTACAAATGAAACTTCAAAGGAATCAACTCACATTGCAGCCTCACATCTGATGACACTTCTCAGTTGAGCAGCCGTTGAATTCCATCGAGTAGGTACGTCTCGTTCAACCATGTGTGGGGTAGCACACTCTTTGTCCCGACAGGTTTCGACAAACTTGGCTTTTGAATTCGGCGAATACCTCAACTTCTTTGCAATTGCCCAAAACTTTGGCAAAGCAAACATTAGTAATGGCACCATCTCGTGTACAAGACATGAGGAATATGGCTTACTTTGGCTAAAGTTTCCTTGCAGGAGGTGCTCGTGTATCGATCCTTGTCGCCTTCATCACTAGCGTTATCGATGTCTGCGTCGCTGAGAGTATCGTGGTCTTCTTGAGCTGGTTCTACCTCAGATTCTCCATCACTGGAGTATTCATATTCCTCTGGAGAAGTCTTATCCCCACGGGCAAGCCTATCAGATTCAGTAGGGAAATGCATCAGCTAAATATGAAAACTTGTAAAGGATGGAATGAATGACCTACAATCTGATTTGTCCCTCAGTGTGGTCATCCTCAGAACAATCCTTGCCGGAATCAATACCCCCGTCGTCAGTGCCTTGGCCTTGTGGGGTGGGTTTCTTCTTATGTGTTCCAAATGGGCGGAGGATTGACTGGACAATCAGGTTGAGGATGTGTGCGAAACATCGGATCCAGTGTGTGTCGCCCTTGAAACGTGGCCACTTCAGGTTTTTGAGGTCCCGTACCAATACCGCATTGTTCATTGCATTATCGCTCACAAGCCCACATATCTAAAATATATAAATATCAATTTGTCAGCCTGGGAACAGGAGCATAAAACTTAGGAAACAGGGGCTTACTTTGTCTGCAATTCCAAATTTCTCAATCACCTGCCCAACAATCTCGGCCAGGTACTCGCCTGTGTGACACTGAGTAAGTGAGATGAAGTCCAATGGCATCGCCTCGAGCTTGAAGTTGCTGGGGTCGTCCTCAGCTAGTCGGTAGATGACGATTCCCAAGATATCGAAGCCGTTCGGGGATTGCCACGCATCAACACCTAAGTATAAAGCACCTTGGTGTTGCTAACAATAAAAGGAGAGAGAGACATCAGAAGAGGAAGATGATAAAACTGGCTATGAGATAAAAAAAGGGACTGACCTTTAAAACAGTCCTATAGTTGTCTTGTATGGCTGAGTAGAGCATGTGAATGTCCTTCGAGACTGCTTTTCTAGTGGGTAGATGCTTGAGAACTGTTGGATGAAGGAGTGCCTTGTGGCTTGCATCTACAAGGGCGGAGAATGGACGTGCGGCTTCTGCGCACCATACAGCACACAGCTGTGGTACCTAATAGAAATAGATAAAGGGTCCTGGGTCAGTGAGGGCATTCCTGGGGCTGAAAGATGTAATATGTACAATATGGGACACTTACCTCTTTGGGATCAATGTCACCAGTCCCAGTAATCCCAACACTGGCCAGAGTGCGTGTCTTGGATGCCTCTTGTTGTTTGCGGAGGCAGAGGGCAGCGTGCTTGTTCAGGTTACCACAGGAGGAGTCAGACATAGGCCGGTTGATCTTGGTAGAACACCTATGTGCATGCAAAAGAAGAAAGATATCATGATGTTAGCAAAAAGGAATGAGTTCATATGATTGGAAGAGAAAACTTACATTTTACAATGGTAAGCAATCATGAACCTTCCAGACTTGTCCTTTTGATCGGAGAGCTCTGGTACGTGGTAGTTATTGTAGCTAGAGCTGACAGCGTTGGCGGCGACCTTCCGAGCACGATCTGAAAAAGAAGTTGAAAGAATCCAAAAGTCTAGAATATATTTCATTAGATTAAGAATAGACATAGGAAAATAATTATTAGAAATAATAAAACTAGGCTAGAAACAAACCTAGGAGCAGGAGTGAAGATACTGATAGAGAGAGAGAGAGATTGAGCTGTAATGATAGCTATGGAATGAGATAAGACGAAGTCGATGACTCCTTTTCTACATGAGTTGGTAATGTGGTTGAGGTTTTAAGTCACATTAGCTTCTCAATCATTTAACCTGTCTCTTCTCAGCAAACAGTTCTTACTCAGACTCGTTTATGCGTCCGAGATGATCCTTTCCTCCTTCAACCAATGCGACTGAGTAATGAGCTCGTTTTCACTAAACATCACAGAGAATGACAAACGTCTCCTCAGTCTAATTGTGCAGTAGGATCACTATTTACAGTCAGACATACCTTTGGCTTTTCCTGATGGATGGCCTTCGGTTATTCTCCCGCTTTCTTTCCTGTTGTCAACAACTAGGAAAAGATAGAATGCTTTTATAAGTTTTTCTATTCCATGAGCCTCCAGTTACGGTTTAGTTAAGCTTACCTGATGGGTTACTTTCTATTCCTTTCTGTTCGGTCTTCTGAATCTTCTTCCTCCTGATCGCTGTTGTCGTTGCTGTAATCAATAAGATTGATTTTCAGTTTACTACACAGGACAGTGGGTGCTTCGATCATGTATGCATATGCTTACAGATATCCGCAGTTAAGTCATGCGACAGCTTCCTAGCCACTTTGTGGTTTGGAGCCTTGTCCGCAGAGTCCGTAATCTTACAGAAGTAACAAAGAAATCAGTAATTGAAGTAGCGAGGAAGGTAGCAAGAGGGAGAGGGAGTAGAATGCAACGGAGCGAAAGGGAGTAGGAAGCGAGCGAGCAAGCAAAGCGGAAGATGATCGAGCGAGGTAGCAGAAAGTGAGAGAGAGCGAGGTTGATCAATGAAGAAGGAAAGACTCACCTAACTCCTCTGCATCGGTCAACGGATGGTTAGATTGGCGGGGAGAGCTTGGCTCTTCAGATGAATTACGGCCAATGTCCTTATCGTTATCGTTGTGCGGTTGATCCGGAGGAGAAGGTGTGTCCGATGGTCGATCCTGATTGTGTGTGGCATGGGTTTTTAATCGTGTGCGGGGTGGCATGGTGGGTTGGTGTAGCTCGGTCGACCTGGGGTGGGTGGTGGTGTGCGGGTTGGATACAGTTGGTGCCTGGTACCACTGATATCCGACCCTATGCCCTGGGACTGGATGGGTACCTGTTCATCGGGTGGCTTAATACAGGTGGCTTGAGGCGGTACCCGGGAGAGTACCCGGGTACCGGGTCTGATTTTGGCCAAAAACAGACACCAAGTACCGCACCCGGGGCCTGTTGCCGGGTACCGGAGGAGTGAAGGCGGTACCCGCCAACGGGTACCGCAAGGCCATCTTTACATCCTATGGATGGCACTCTCAAAACCTTGAATCGGACGTTTTTGGATAAACTATCCATTGGATGGTCTTCTGGCAGGACAAAAGCCAAAAAATGACAGGCACATGGATTGGGCTTGAACACACAACCTGCCTGCATCAGGAAGATGCACAAGAGAGGCTCTTACCAACTCGCACTACGGACAAATAGGTGTCGCTGCGGCCCGCAGCGTCACCTGACGTTTCCCACCAGATTCAGATGTCGCGCGAGCAAATCAAAGTTGAACTTGCAACGACACTAGCCCCCTCGAAACGACAGCAAGCACTCTATAATCATCTTGACCAATCAGCACACACCTTGTAAAGAATACCACTGATCATCTCAAGCGACCCCTTGCATGCGCAAGATCCAAATCCTGGGGTAGTTGATTGAGGTTTGCGGGGCAAACTGCTTGGCCGCCAGGTCTTTCAAGACAAGCATCTTGACCTCGGTGTTCATGTAGAGGTCCTTCTTCGATTCTTCGAGCAGCAAAATGTCAATTAGAACTAGCGGAGAATGTGATCAATAATGCTCACAATAGATATTGGCCGCGTCTGAGCGCGTAGACTCGGTCATCTTCTATGTTTCTTTTCCTGTTTTTTTTTGGCTTGGTTCTGGATGAATAGGAGAAGCGGGACAATTCAATACATTCTCCATTGCTGAAGGGGAGGAGCGTTGTACCCGCTGAGCCAAGAAGATACTGCCATCCGTGTGCCTCACGATGAAAGGGCTCATCAATTCAGCTGAAACGCAGTCTACTACTTGCAATCCCTATCTCTGTGCTGCCAGCTGACCACTTCCCAAGAGTGAGCAGCTGCGCAAAGGATTTGAAAAGAAGAGTCCTCAAGCCGGGTAAAGAACATGGAATAGAGCTCTCAAGTTTGCAGCAACCTTGGGTGAAGTGATGACGGGTTACAGGCGAGTTGATAAATACAATGAGTAACAACTTGACATAGCAGCCGTATATCTGGGCAGCCAGTAGTTGGTCAACCAAATAATCATCAGGGGGGGGGGGCAATAAAGATTCCCTCAGGAGAAGTTAGGATTTCAAACCGACAATGCTACCCAATGCTAGTGCTAGCCTCCAAGATTAAAATCGACTAACATTAGAAGTCTTTTTATCCATGCTTTGAGGGATTGCACATACCAAGCTTCAATTTTTCACTTGATCCATCAGCAAGAGTTGTAAATTTATGGGTATCACTCGAGCACTCCTTGTGTTCCTAGAGCCACCACCGATTCATTATGAAGATTCGAGAAACATGATTGGGGGGTTTTATCTTGCACAAACAGTTGATTCAAAATGCTACATTTTTGTATGAGTGGTGAAATTCTTGCTGGGTAGAGATGGAAAAGTAACACCAGCATCTTCAGCTACATCTTTGCAAGGCTGGTCAAATTTACAAGTTCTACCGATTTAATGCTTCCTATTTTACGGATTCCAGCTCTAAGCTGGAATGCTATTTTCAAAGATCATTTGACCCGAAGACTTCAAGTTCGGAGCAAACCTATCAAAAAATGTTCAAGCAAGACACTTGATTTAGTAGCTACAGAATTTTTTTGCAGATCGCCAAAGGATCGGCGCAATGACTCACTTAGTTGCTTGAGCTGGAGGCTCGGGTTTGTAAGGCTCAGGTGTATCTTTAAGACTGATTGCCTTAGCCACTCTGTTACCTGAATCTTTGTCGACGGCCAAGAATATAGCCACTTGATCCGTCTTGATGCGATCGAGACTGACGTTCCCAAGATGTCCGCTGACGTTCTTGACGAAATATTCTTTGGCGCCATCCTCAAAGACTTTCGACCACAGCGCACGAGCAGGCTTGAAGTCTAGAGTCTAGTTCCGTGACTGTTGAGAGTTGGCGACTGGGCTGACAGATTTATTAACAGGAAGCTGAGTATATTTGATTCCTAATCTGTAAATGTGAGCATCGGTGTAAGAGAACAGTCGGGATTAAAGTACTGGATCGGCACTCGGCTTGATTCCCGGTGGGAGATGAGACGGCGAGAAAGCCACTTACTCGATTTGAGCGTGGTAACTGAAAATCATTCGAGGCATCAGCAAATGATCTCATCAAGATCAGAAATTTGAACTAAACAAAAAGCGAGATTAATGGTAAAACGAGGAGTTGGACAAGACTCATTTTCAGGAATGGGGCGAAATCGAACGCATTCACGTTCTTCATGGCAGAGGTGTCGCTTTCGTGACTTATGTCTCGGAATTGAATGCGCAATTTGCCAAGGAAGCGATGATGTGTCAAAGCATGGGATGAGGAAGTCTTGAATGTGAGCCGCCAAACGATCCAAGCATGCAAGAATAGTGTTGATGGGAAGCGAGCGAATTGCGGCGAAGATGAATCCGGAGTTAGTGGAGGCAGTGGAGGCCTTAGACCTACTAGAGCAAGAAAGTTCTGAAGTGTCTCCAGAAGAAGCGGCACCAAATCGATGACAATAATGATCATGGACATGATCAGTGATGATCTCGTAGCGTGAGGATTCGGTTTGACTCGAAACGTCCGGGTGACGCTGCGGGCCGCAGCGACAGCTATATGTCCGTAGTGTCGGCTATATCAGATTTAACACTCCTTCACCTAAGAGCATCTCCAACGCGGTAGGTAAATCGGGTCGCAAAACCCGATTTACCTACCCAACCTCCAAAAAACTCACCCACCGCGGTTGCTATCTCGGGCGCTAAATTTAAAAAACAGCTCCCGAGTAGCTAGAGGGTTGCTACAACTAGCAACTCCCTACAACTCCAACTAGCAATCGGGAGGTGTGAAACCTCCCTCCAACCTGTGAAACTACATGCCCTCCTACCCCCGATAACAACTGGCTTCCTTCTACATATCCACAATCTTCACCATCTCTTCAACTGAGCATGAGATTTGTTAAGTTCATTACGAACATTCTTTGATTCAAGAAATTTGAAAATGATATTTGCTGAGTTTGAAGAGCATTTGAAGGTGCGAGTCAAAGTTGAGATCCTCGCCGAAGTTGATGTTCATGATGAAAAAAAAGATAGATTGTGAAACAAGAGCGACAGCGAAACAGAAACAAAAATAAAAACATTCCATTAATGTGGAGGCTCGGGCTCAGAGGATACCCCCGGGGGAGGCCTGTCATGAGGATTTAGCTCCATTTTTAGGTCCTCGCGGTGGTTGAGCAGCCTTCACCTCGGGTTGTAAAGTGAATCCGAGTCGCTAAATCTCACATTTAGCGACTCGGATTTACCTCCCGCGTTGGAGATGCTCTAAATGTGATAAGAGCCCAAATTTTTATGCAAAGCTAATTTTCTGGCTTAATTTAGACTTTTGACCCCCCAAGTCATGTGCATTTTGAAATAAATTTTTGACAATCGACTGCATTTTAGCCTGTTTTTTCAACCATCAACCACCTCACCTGTAAAGTGAAAATTGGGCACTTTCAAAAATGTCCATTGGACACTCTCAATCAAGAGTGTCCAATGGATGGTTATTTTTTACCGTCCAGAGGATGGTCTTGACCACCAGGCATCACTTGGATGGTTTCAGAAGCATCCAAGTGATGCTTGGGGCACCGGAGCATCCCTTGGATGCTTTCATAGCGTCCAAGGGACGCTCTTGCTCAGAAAACGGCCATCGGATGTACAGGTTTTCTAAAAACCCGCCCCGTGGTGTAGTTATACAGCTGGCCTTTCCGAATCAACTTTGCCCACTCTAGAGCTTGACATTGGGTGCAACCAAGTAAGAAAGATGGATGTATTCCTTGACATTGATAGCTTTCATTCTTCCTTTAGATAATAGTTCTGGTGGGTGTACAGTGATTAAAGATTCAGAGGTGGACTTCAGACTCATCCGCTATGCGCTCTTGTCTCTCCCAAAGAAAAACCCTTCATCTGGATTGCTTCCACTCCAGCTCCTCTTCTCACAGACAACACTCCACATTTTGGAGTTGGAACATCCACACCTTGAATGTGATTATATAGGGAGAGCACACAGATGAGATTATTGCAAAGACTGTGATCCAATTTTCTTGATACATTTCTTTTTGCCTATGTATCATTCATGAGAGAGTAGAGGGAAGGGTCAAACCCCTTGTCTGTGGGGCCCAGTTTGAATGATTAGCTTGTCGCATGATGGCATTGACTCCACTCCACTCAAAAGATTTGTCACTTTATTTACGATTCAAATTGAAACATCAGGACGATTTTGATTTTATACCAATAAAGTAGTATGTAGTATACAGGAGGAGGAGATGCATAGGCATTGCAAGGGGAGCAGTCAGATAAGTTGATTGACATGGAGTTATAACTACTAGTACTTATTTCACATTCTCCTGCACATTTCTCGAGATGAAGGGATCGCAGATACACTTGTATCTAAGGTGTAAGAGTCGAGAAAGGATTGTATATTGGATGTGAGGAAAGCAAAAACAGAGCAAGGAAGTCACTTGGGATACGATTTCAGATGGATGCTTTTCAACTTAGTGAATTGGTCGAATCCGAATTGACTCAAAGTGACCCCTTTGCCCGAGTTTTTCCAGCCGGTCCACGCGAGATCCGCGGCCGGGAAATCGCATCGATTAACGAACACCGTCCCCGCCTCGATCTCTTGGGTGAGTTCTTCGGCTAGTTTGAGGTCTTTAGTCCATATGCTTGCAGTCAAGCCGAATTCGCTATCATTCATTAGTTCGATGGCTTCCTGGTCATCTTTGACAGACATCACCGGGATCACTGGGCCAAAGGTTTCTTCCTTCATCACCCTCATCTGATGGTTCACATTAACCAATAGAGTCGGTTTGATGAAGTTACCGTGGGCTGGTAGATTGGTAAAACTGTCGTTCTCAGGAGTCACGTCTTTAGCGCCTTCTCGAACAGCGTCTTTGATTTGTTCCTCGATGACTTTCCGGCTTTGAGAGCTGATGACGGGTCCGAGATGAGTCTTGGGATCGAAGGGATCGCCGAGTCGGTAAGATTTCAAGACGGTCTGGATGGCCAGAACGAACTGTTGGCAGATCGATTCGTGGACATAGACGCGTTCGACGCTACAACAGGATTGGCCGGAGTTGAAGAGCGCGCCATCGACGATTTCGGAGGCGGCCCAGTCCAGATCGACGTCCTGCCGGATGTATGCCGGGTCCTTGCCGCCGAGTTCTAAGCCCACTGGGACTACCCGACCGGCCGCGGCCGTCTGCACCGCCAATCCGCCCTCCACCGAGCCCGTGAAACAGATCAGTTTCACCAATGGAGACCGGATCGCAATCTGGGGGATCTTCGAGTGCATCCCTCCCGAATGGAAAAACGTGATCACATCCTTTGGTAAGCCCGCCTCAATGAAGATCGATCGGAAATGCTCCGCGATCGTCGGTGTTTGGGGCGATGGCTTCAAGATCACCGAGTTTCCTGCAAGCAGGGCTGGGATCAATGAGTTGACTAAGATGAGGTATGGATACTGTTCCCCCATTCCCCCCCGAAAAAAAAGATTTATATTATCACATGCAGTCAGTCTCAAGAACCGACTAATTGAAGACATATATTTTGAACAACAAGACTCACATTCCAAGCAAAAATAATCAAGACCGGTCCGACGGGTTCCTTGCGAATGTATCGCTTGAATCCCTGCTCCGGTTCACCGGGCGTATCAGCGAAGATTTTATCACTGATCTTGAGTAAATATTCGGATCGGTTGACGGCCGTTTGGATTTCTTTAGCGGTATAAGCAATCGGTCTGCCCATCTGCTCGGTCAATTCTCGAGCCAATTCATCTTGCTTTGAGCTCAATAAACCCAAGGCTTTCTTGACGATCGTCTGGCGTTGACTTAAATCTGTAGTTTTAGAATATTCTTTGAATGCGTTGAGTGAGTTGTTGAGTAGTCCTTCTAGTTCTGCTTTCGTTGGTTCGACTCTTTCTAGTATCGGTTGATTGGTATTCGGTGAAATCGTGATTATCTTGTCTCCGGTCATTTCTGATCAATTCTTTTCTTTCTCTGTTGTTTCGTTGCTTATTCGTGTTTGTTTTTGCTGGCTGGTCTTCAGGAAGAAGAACGATGAAACTTTTTCGAATGAAGAAGAGGTTGGTGATCACTTTTTTGCTTGCTTGCTCTGCGCGAGTTTGGGGCTGTGCATGCTGCCCAAAAATAACTCATCACCCCGGAACTTCAAATGTAGTACGCCACCTCCTCTGATATCGTCTGACTACATATTCCACTGCATCTGTAAGTGCTACAAATGTCTAAAAGATGGTCATGGTGAAGACAAGCATCTGTGCATCAAGCAACCCAGTTCTTGAAAGGTTTATTTTCTTGCGTAAACGGGGAGAAAGCCAAAAAAAGACAAAGAAAAGAAGACCCAAACAGAATAAAAGAAAAGGAAGTGAACAGAGGGGAGGATAACAGTATCTTGGATAGATAGAGCTTGATTAAATAACAAAGAATGTACAGAGTAATCAAAGTATAGAAGATCAATGTTTACAAGTCAAACAGCGAGCCAAATGTCTAGCCAACGCGTATCTGACGACATTCAACTGATCCAACGCGGCTCTAGTTCCTTCATTCGAATGATGATCAACATCAACCTCATCCGCTGGATCGATTCCGTTCCTCTTCTTATTATTGACTATCTTGGGATCCCTTTGATTTAGACGAGTATCATTTTGAGAAGAGGAAGTAGGGAGATGGTTGGACGGGCCGGACTTCCGTCCATTCAGGACGATCCTCTTCAGATATCCCAGGTTGTCATAACTGTCTCGCGAACTCGTTAGGATCGGCGCGGTGATCTCTTCTAGACATCTTAGTAACTCATAAGTGTCCGCTAGTGAAATCAAAATCTCGTCATCTAGAGGATTTTTTTTTTTTTCAGTGAAACCCCCCAGAAAAAAAGGTTAAATCAATTCTCAATTTGTGAGTTTTGCTCAAGTTATAAGCCTCAATAATTCACCCACCTTCGAGCAACGGGATCACGTCGATCAGACAGACAGCCCACCAAGGTTTGGGAGCGATTTCCGTGGTCATCAAGCCGACCAAAGTTTCAGCGGCCAACTTGCGCTCGCCCTTTGAATAGTACGAATGCATATCTCGATACCTCGACAAGAAGAGCAATTTACTCGAGTTGAGATTCGGCTGCGGCTTCTCTTGGGGCGTTCGTCCGCCCTGCTGTTGAGTAGGAGGGTCGAAGAATAAACCCGGCCTGAGGGCGGGCGCTGTGGGATGAAGTAATGAACTGGGTATTTCATCTACAAATCTTGCAAACTCTTCTGGTCCTATTTTTTTTTTTAAAAAAAAAATGAAGAAATCGTGGAATTAGCTTGGTTGGGATTGGTTCACAGTGTAACATAACCCAGAGATCACGAAGATACCATTTGACAAGTATTCATCCAGAAGAAGATCTGATATCCTCGAGACCATCTTAAGGTCGCCAGCGGTCACAGCGTAAGCAATAGCAGCTCCATATTTCCTTTGTTTTGTTAACCTGCGGGACAAGATCTGATATCAAAGTTAAGTAAAGAGTCTGTTTTTTTTGTTGAAGATGATGGTCGATTGGTTTGACGATTCAGAAAGGAAGAGACTCAACTCGTGCAGTCCGATTGAGCTCGTCCTCCATGCCATATTCGGCATAAATGAGTTTCATCTCGAGGATGCTGACCTTAGCCGTTGTTTTTGAGGGCTGAGGGTCGAGTTCCATGGAATCGTTAGGCTGTTGTTCGGCCAGATCTTCGACGACCAACCTGCGAAGGATCTCTTTAATCCACGCTTCGGTCCCATCTACAGTCACCAGATAGGCGATCATCAATCTCCACAAACCCTGATCAACACTCAGATAATCCACAAAATCGCTGATGTAAAAGCCGCGTGAATGGTCGGCTAATGCGATCCCAAGCTTGTCAACCAGATCGGCGAGGTGACAGATTAACCATTGGTCCATCTTCGACGCCGCTTGAAGCAGTGAGCCAATGTCGCCGTTCATGATTGAGGACGTGGCCAAATCGAGATTGGAAGTTTGATCGATTGGCCATTCTGCGGTAATCTTCTTCATCACGACCCTACATGAGATCAAACACAGTGATGAAAGAATAACAGCTGTCGTTAACAATCGGTCGATCGTGATGATTGAAAACCCAGCCAAATGAAAAGTTATATATATATTTAACTTACGGCAGATCATCTCTCTTACAAAATGGATTGACCCATAAGAGATGAGCGCCCAAGGCTTCTTGCCAATCATAACAAGCCTCGGAAATTCTACTTTCATCACCGGACAGGATCTCGAGAAGGATTTTATAGCTGGCCTGAAAATGAATCAAATCGTCTTCATCGAACGCATTTTCTGAGTCTGGACGATTTTTCTCATTCTCAAAGATAACATTCATCTCAGATTCTAAGGTGATCAAAGATCTTTCGACGACCTCTCGAAATTTTTCGATTGCGCTATTGAAGTCGAGTTCCTGATCGTACAAAGTCGAGCGCGGGGCAGACTTGATCAACGAAATCATCACGGTCATCAACTGGTTTAACGTCGGATTGTGGGTCTTGGTGTATGGCTTCAACAGTGCACTGGCTTGTGTTAGATGCCCTCGAATCACACATCTGTAAAAACACTTCCACCAAGATAACTTTGGTAAATTTTCGCACAAGGAAAAAAAAGGATGAATGGATGACTGACGCCTGAATGTATGGCCAAAAGTTGACATGTTCGTAAGGAATAGCCATCGCACTCAATTCCTCACCCTCCTCTTTGGGAGGCTCTGCAAGAAAAATGATTCATAATCAATATTTGTAAGATCGGAGAGGAGGAGTTGTAAAACAATGAAAACTCACGTGGGTTGGTCCGATTGACCCAATCCAAAATCTCTTCTGCAACAATAGCGTCGCCCCTCCCATCAGCAGGCACATGAACTAAAACAAACAGACTAAAGACCTCTGTCATTTGAAGCACGAGATCGATCTCGTCTGAATTGTTGGCTTCATCTTTCTGTTGATTAAGTCATCAGTTATCTCACCATATCGAAGGCACTTTTTGTAAAAAGAAAAATTAAAAAAAGACTGACTTCAAGTTCGGCTAAATAATCCTTTAATGCAACCACATACTGATTCCCGATCCTGTAATAATACTTGAGCTGGGAAGTCGAAGGGAGAGATGCGCCACCGCTAGACCAGAGGATGGAGGAAGAAGAATCCAACGGGTAATGTTAACGAGTTTGGTTCTTTAATCGGTTTTGCTTGTAGACATGGATGATGAACAATTCTTGAGTTTTTTACGGTAGATAGATTTGGTCCTGAGCCATGCCTTCCTCTTCCTCACACAATTGTACGACTTTTTGGAGTCCACTAAAGACTTCATATGAACGAGTAATAAACTGTTTTTTTGTTGATTCAGAAAAGAGTCGTCAATTTCGGTTAAGAAGTTCGGTGTCTCGTGTCTTTTCATATTATATAAGGTAAATCACCCACGGATCTTCGAGATGGTTTGAAATCGGAAGCATTGATTAGGTATAAAGATTGATCTGGAACTGAAGTCTATGTAGGATGAACAGCAGAGAAAAAAAATGGTAAGAGAAAGAATAAACACTTTGTTAGAAAAGCATGACAAGGAGCAGAAAAGAGGCATCATCTCTGACGCGTCTCATCCACCAAGTAAGTCAGGATAGATGCGAGTCTGAACGCGAAAACCATGATAAAAAAAAAGGAAAAGACGAGATTTGGATGACACTAACGATGGTTTGGCGTTGTTTGTCTGCCTTTTTTGAAGTGGGATTTGAAGGGACAACAGCCAGAGCGAGACCGTTCCGTTTGGGGTCCCACGTGGTTTGACACGTCCTGGGCACCGGTTCCGAGGAAGATTCCGGGTTGGTCGAGGTGAACACGCTGATCGGACTGGGGTAGAGCTGGATCGAGTGAGTCATCTTCTTTCTTGTTCTTGGTCGACTTGAGTAGGAAGAACGGAAATTGCCAGGCGCGTTCTTCCTTCGACCACTGCCAGAGAGGGATCGACTGAGCCAGACCCCCCGGAGATACCCAAGCCCCTCTTGAGGGTGTCAGATATTCAAAATGCGCTCATCCGAGGCCCCCCTTCAGATCCCCCCCATTAATGTATGCTGCCTTTGAAGGGGCTTCTTCACAGCTGGCGATATCCCAGTACCAACCAACCCCAAAACGATTCTACTCCAACCCCACCCCACCCCAGCCACCACAAACCAACACCACACCACAAGACAGACTCAAGAGAAACAACTAGAATGCCTGAATCATCGGCTGCAGTCAGACATCGATCCAAGAAGTATGCCAAACCATTTATCACCTTGAACTTGACTGAGACTGACTGAGACTGAACAGTTTCTACGGGAGAACACCGCCCTCTCTACCGACTTGCAAGACCGAGTTGGATATCCTGATCGAAAGACATCAGTCAGCCCGTCTCCCTTCATCTCCCTGCATACACTCGCCATCTCACTCACCTCCTCCCGCATCCCGATTGTCTGCTTATCTACTACATATTTCTTCTATAGGTTTATCCGGGACTGCGATGAGCAAAACTTGAGCTGGGAGGACGCCTTGGCAAAGAAAACTTACGACCAACTGTTCAAGGAACTTGCGGTTTGCGATCTGTCTCGATGGAAGGAGGGCAAAGCAAGTATCTCCGTAGACCGGAACTCTATTCTTCGCAAAGATTACATCCCTTATTTGAAACGAGATGGATTAGAGAAAAAAAAACATTCTGATTTGGATTATTTGCTTTTGCCTTCTAACACCTCCTGGTTTGTGTAGGTAGCGATGCGCTGGAGAACGGCGAACGAAGTGGTAGATGGCAAGGGTCACTTCACATGTGCTAACCTACGATGTATACACCATGAGCTTGGCCTGAAGAGCCCGCCCCGAAGCCTCTCGAAGAAGGCGCATCCGTTGGGAGCCTTTGCGAACTTCGAGGCCCAACACTCGTTCATCCCACTGGAAGAGTTCAGCAGGGCCGGCGAACGGAGCGAGCTCACTCCTCAAATCCCACTACAGGAGCTCCAGACCTCGTTTGGTTACCTCGAACATGGCGTCCGCAAGCTGGCCGAGGTCCAGCTGAACCTCTGCAAACGCTGCGCTAAGAAGATGAACTCCTGTTCGCTCTCCAAGCGGCGCACTGAAAACCGCGCCCCCACTCGAGCGCTCGTCCATGCCTCTCGTAAAAGAGATCTCCCCGAGGGCTTGCATTCCTCCACTGAGCGAGAGCCATGCCCTGAACGACCGGCCAAGATCCGCTGCACTAGTGGTAGATAACCCACCCCACCCCCTCACACTGAAGATAAGACATCCTCCACCTCACCCTATCCCCATTACATTCTTCAAAAACATCCGACCGCTTCATCAGGCCCCATAATATACAATCTAAATACATGCTTGCGTCTGTTGTTGGATGACAGAGAAAGTTCATACTCGGAAACTTGGCACACATAATCCATCTGTCGATACTTCAAATCGGTGCCCTTATTCTTATATCATTCATGCGGCCCTGACTCATCCATGTCGACGATCAGCCTACCTCCAATAGCTTCAGCTCTATTTTAGGAGCCTTTACACACCCTTAACTCTCCGTTAATCCTGCCCCCTGATCATTTCCTTTTTGACTATGTTGTTTGCTAATATTCATGGCTGTCATAATCATCATTCACACTCGCACACACGCTTCCATAATGTATACAATTGTACACATGTATATATACATAACCGTCTCAATCATCACCGGCTTTTGTTTTGGCAACATTGGTCTTGATTTTTGCTTGATCTCCTCATGTACCTACATACATACATGCTTGCTTTCTTCTTGCGTCTGTGTCTGTTTTTTTGTTCCTATAGTTATTGTTACTGCTCTTATTTTTTGGCTCTCTGTCTGTCGATTTTAGAGGTATAAACTCCTCCTTCCCCCTCTGACAGAGACCTGCATTGCAAGTTCAACACTGACTTCTCTGCAACTTGCAAGGTACTTCGGTACATCGACCTCGGATGTGACACCCGCTTTAGGCTACGCAGTATATCCGTCCATGTCTTGTCCACGGAACTAGCTTGTTTCTTGTGCATTTCAAGCAACAATCAAATCATGTGCAGATAGAGACCAGAAGATTACATGGTCTAGAGGATTCTCAATTTCGACTATGTGCACATGTATGTGTATATAATGAATTGTCTTTCTGTGGTTTTGGGAGTATGTTACAAGAAGTTGAATGCTATGAAGTACTCGAGGCCTTTTTTTTATAAAAAAAAAAACAATTCCCAATCTTGCAATATGCAATGTAGCTCAACGTAAGGCAGGTAGTACTAGTAGCAGCAAAAAAATTGTACATATTCATAAGAAGTAGAATTTGTTTTACACTTTCCAGTATCAACACTGATCGTGTCGGATGTGGGCGTAGGCCAGCATAGTTACCAACTCGGGCTGTTGCAAAAAAAAAAAAAAAAAAAAAAAAAAGGGAGTCAAGACCAGGTTTTTTGTTAATTATTTATTGAGTGTGGAATAGGTTATAATACGGGGACACACCAATGGGGCACCCTCGGTGCATGAAAGAGTGAAGGTTGAGATGCCGCCGGGAACGTTCAGCCAGCTATCTTGGCGACTTTGACCTACGCAATCCAATCGACCTTTAGAGTTAGTCATCGTGCTTTTCTCGTCCGGGTTTGCGGTCGTAGCATGAAGAGAGAGAGAGAGAGAGAGAGCGAGATATAAAAAAACACACCTCTGAGCCGGCCTACCATCACGTCACCTTGACCTCTGGCGACTCTGTAAATGATGCCTCCTTTGTTTGTGCGATTTTTGATGAATTTGTAGTACTGCCGGGCACCTGCGGCATCATTGTATACGTTAAAGCGCCAGACATTGCTCCGGAAGCCTCGGGGATCATAGCTATAGGCTCGCTTTGGTAAGCCGTCTTTTGACACCGGGCCTTCGAGCTGGGTGAAGGTGGTCTTGGACTTGCAGTCATCATTGCTCTGGGGAGTGTCGTAGAAGGAGAGGAATGGAGCAGAGCAGGTTAGACTGCTGTGTTGAGTCCTCATCTTCTTTTGCTGGTAACACAACTCACCGAGACTAGCGCAAACAGCTTCTTTTGAAATCCGTCCGTGAGTGTCGTCGTCGTCTTCCCATTAGATGGAGTGTTTAGATCCTTGATCAAACGGAAAGCGGTCATCCCGTTCGCGCTCATGATCCTCATTAGGCCGCCCTTTGCTAAGTTCACGTTTTCTATCACGATGTAGTCGTTAGGAAGGTTTTGAGCATCCAACGTGAGAGGTAAGGACACCAATAGGGCGATGAAAGCGAGTGCGCTTCGGAATTGCATGGTGCGATATCTGGGATGGAAAATTGTGATGGAGGCCCGATGGGTGCCGACAATCCGTTTCTGCGAGACTCACTGGTGGTAACCTCTAAGTCGGTTGGGTTCAAGAAGTGGGAGGGGGAAGGATGGCAGAAATGCACTGAAATGAGCAATATACCAGAGTGCGCAGAAGTGTTGAAGTCACTGAAAGCAGCAATAACAGTTGATTGGATGGGGGATGGGCAGAGCATACGGGACGAGCTCGAGCTTTTTGTACCCGAAACATGATGAGAGCACGCAGAAACAGGAAGGGACAAAGCCGATGGGCCGAATCAACAACAAGCCACCATGAGTTGGGCTAGCAATAGTATACAAGGCCCGATTGGCTCTTCAAGCACGCCCAAAAACTTTTAAGCACTTCCCTATAAATGTGTACTGCGAAAAAAAAAACCCTCCAGCGGACCCGTTTCCCTTATGAGATTAGGACAGTGGGAGGCAGTGGCGCCAATCGCGTACTCCCCCACACAGGGTATGCAGATGGGGATTTTTCTTGCCTAACATACCTCGAGGATCACTATCCCTCCCGGTCGTTAGTCGGCGTGCAAAGTAAACAAACCCTTGTGAGTTGTGTGAAAGCCTCGAAGGGTCTCTGTTTCGCAGAGACAACAAATGAGCCAGCGTGCGAGGGGCTTCGCGTCCCTTATATCGACCAGATTCGGTTCAATGGGTGACTTCCCGTCGCGATCTACACTAACTTAGCTAAGTCCCTCTATGGGAGGGGGGACACCGTCCTCAACTGCCCGGAGGGACTACAGCCCTCCCAGGATGGATTTTGGTTGATATTTTGGTTTTTCCCAAGCCTTGTGCTCATGGGTCTCATGTTGGCTGGTTGTTTTTTTGATTGCTGTCTTAAGTTAGGACTTCGAGAGAGGGGCTTGAAAAGCACTCTGAATGGCGATGGGGTAAGTCCTCCATTGTGTCTTTCTGGCAGGCCTCCCAAGACAAAGCGGCTAACCTGAAAGATGAGGTCACCAGTGAGAAGGAGAAGAGGGACTTGGTGAAAAAAGACGGGGGGAGGAAGGACTCAACATTAATGCTCTCACCCAAGAGTGTGTTGATCAGTGGGGGGTCATGGTACATAGCTGCTTGAAAGGAAATTTTTCAAACACTTGTAAGAAACATCCAATAAAGGGGATCTCCACTCCATTGGAGTAACACTACAAACTAGGGCGACAATAATAAAAGACCTCCACTGCCATTCAAGATAACTCCAAAGGGAAAACAACCCTTGTTGGTTCAAATTCTTCTCCCGCTTCCTCTCAGAATATCTCAAGCGCAAGACTTCCCATACTTGAAGCACCCAGCCCCAATTCAAACTACTTGGACTGGGAATTGGGAGTCCGCTCATACTTTGAAGCGGTCCAGGTAGACTATATCCCAGAGGAAACAAAGCCCAAAGCTTGGACTGCCAACAACAAGGCAGTGTGTTCAGTCATCACCCAAAAAATTGTCTCTACAAATCTCTGTCATATACATCACAGGGACACCATTGAAAGGTGGAATGCACTTCTCCACACCCACCAGGACTCCACCACATACTGGATTTGTGAACTGCTGCTGGCAAAGATGGAAGGCAAGGACATCATTGCGCACTTTGACACCATGCTCAAATTTCACGATTGTTTGGATTCTCTTATCACACTGGAAAAACTGCTAACCCCAGATGATGCTTGCTCAAATGGGTTCAATCCCTCAGGACTGGATACACTGCATATCAGCCCTGATCAACAGGAGGATGCTAAGACAGAGGCCATCATGCAAGCTCTGAAGAACATGCATGTCTCTTTTTATAAGTGCTGATTGATTTGTGTTGGAATTTTCCTCATCTGGTCTTCTCTGTTCTCCACACCCCTTTTCTGCTCTCCTCTCTTCAAATCTCTCTGCTTCACCTCACCTTCTTCCTCTTCTCTCTCAAAACCATTCCTTTCCATATTGAAGAATCACAACCACAATTTGGCTGTCACCGTCAAAACAATCACAACCTGTCTCCTCAAAAAACTACAAGCCAAACATATTTAAATCTCATTATTAAAAGCTCTTGTCTCAGTCTTGGCAGCTTCCACCCAAGCAGTCTTTCTCCCTTGAACCTACAACATCTTCATTGCAAATCTGCCTACTTCTTGGCCTTCACCTTCACCTTAACCTCACCAACTATATCTCCAACATTCCTAACTTTAAACTTCCCTTTTGCTTTTGTCTCATTCCCTTGAGCATTATATATCTTCTCTCCCTATTTCCTCTGATCAAACAAGCCCATTGATCTCAAAGACATATTGAATTCCATTCCTATCACTTCCTCAGCCAAAGGTTTGGCCCAGTTGCGCTCTCCTCACCACAGCGGGTTTTTGGCGGGTTTTGCCTCTAGAAGCACTGTTACAAAGCATAGTGTGACTAAAAGCACGCTAACATTACAGTGTTAGTGCACTGTTTTGAGGGCTGCTACTATAATATTAGTAGGCTATTTAGTGTAGTGTGGTGTTGTCAGGCTTGGTATACTTACTAGTTTGGGGAGTAGTATCTAGAGTCTAAACTATAAAAGAAATCTCAAAAGATAAAACAAGTGTAAGTTACTACTTTAGATCTTTGTAGATTGACAAAGCTCAGAGACTCTTGATGAGTCTTACATGTGTCTTCCTGGAGCAACAATCAAGGGGCATCCAACTCAAGAGGTCTCAGAGATGGGAAGGAGTTAACAAGATCAAGTTAACAGATAGGGAACTTGAAGAGTTGGAACAGTTGTGATAGTTGTAATGAGGAGTTTTGAAGGGTTCATGGGTTGTAGAGTTGGAGATTTCAGACTGGGAGTTGCATAGTTTGTGAAAGCAAAAGTACTAGAGCCTTCTAAGTAAGTAGTGAAAGCTTTTACGGTAGGGTATTGGCTGACATCAGGCTGTCAATGGGCTTGGGCGCCCATGGGCTACCCACCCCCCAACAGGTCTTGGGGAGGGTTTGGACAGGAAAGGGTGGAGAATTTCCCAAGTGTGACCCGCCCCATGAAGACCCACCAAATTCATGGGCCGGGATTGGACAGGCATTTCTGGAGGCGGGCCGGCCCATTGGCCCAAAAAAGCCCTAGTTTGCCTGAAAATCATTAGAATTAACCTAATAATATGTACCCACAGTACATATTATTAGGTCTGAAGGCCCAGAATTGGTACCTAGATTATCAAATTTTATTTATCCATTGTTTAGGCCTCCATTCAATGCCAACTTGACCTCCCATCTCACTCCCTTGAGTGACCAATTGTCCAAGATTGTTACTCAGGTCAAAAAAACCATGAGCAAATTTTTGATGACCAAAACACAGACATGCCTCCAGACCCACCTGTCTGGTGGATGGGGCGAATTTGAGCAGACTATTTTTAATTCCTTTCCAGCCCGACCCGCACCACATTCTCAGGCGAGACGAGTTTGGGTATGGTTTTTGGGCCTGAGCCCAGCCCCATTGCCAGCCTGAGCCGCTGACAAGTGCTACTTAGTCAGTGGGCTAGATTTATGATTTCTCAAAGCTTTAAGAGACCAGTAGTCTGGGTTATGATTGTACTGGGGAATATATTCCTCCTTTGGATAGAGTTTCTTTAAATACTTGTAGGGATAGTTATGGAAACAGTAGATGAATCAATCAACAATTGGAAATTATGGCACATCATTTTGTGTTATTGCTTACTGCACCACAGTAACTCAATTCTTATTCATTATTCTCTTCTCACTTGCAATCTATCTTTTGTTCTTATAATTCTTTAATTCTTTCTTTGTGAGGGGTTTAGAATACATTGAACCCTGAAAAGTGTAGAGGCCCATTGCTGTACTGGTCTAAGTGACTTGCAAGTTGAGGGCCCTATCAAGTTTTTCTTCATGGGAATACTTGCAAGTAAAAAATCCAGCCAAGCTGTTTCTGTGAGTGCCAAGTTGGGTTACTGGATAACAAGCTTGTTATGAGCTGTGGAGGACTGGAACTGGGGACGTTACATATGTAGAGAGCCTGTTACGTACATGTCACAAACTTCAAACTTGGAGTTCGTTCGAGATCCGAACCTTGTACATTCCTCATCTTGCAATCTACCATCAAGACTCAGAACCCAGAAGATCACTCACCTGCTCTCCCCAGAACACCCATAACAAAGCTTGGATGTTGAGTAGATTCCATTGCTGGTACCCTCCAGGTACCAAGCTGATTTTCTGGGCTGTTAAGAGGATGCTGGTAATGTATCTTTTCATCTGATATGGCTAAAGGCATTTAAGTTCAAATTGAATGCTGCAGGCTTCCAGTGCTCTAGATGCTTGGTTTTGCCATGTCCTGCCCTGGGCTTTCTTGTATTATCTTTGGGGTGGGTATGGACAGAAATTTTTTGAATTTTGACCTGCCCCAGTCCCATCCTGACCCCAATGGCGAAACCAATCTGATCCAATACGCTATCAGCCAATTTATTGGATCAGATCAATTTTTTCATACCAGGTATCAAAAAATAAGGGATTGGATCACCCTAGCAATCCAATCCCATGGTATCAGATTGGGCAATCCCAATCCAACACCCAAAAGCTGCAGGCTGCGTACCTCATGCTTTGGTACCATCCAAAGTGTAACCAATCCAATCCCCGGATTGGTATTTATCAGGGATCAGATCAAAAATGGACCCAATACCAGGTATTGGTATCAGATCGCTCCACCCCATCCCAGTTGTCCAATAAATTGGGATTGGATTGGAGATTGATCCAATCCCAATACCCAGTATCAGGTCCATTTTCAATCCAATCCCCAATAAATACCAATCCAGGGATTGGATTGGTTTCATTGTTGCTGAACCTCAATATTATGGGGGCAAATTTGGACCCCATCTTTTGGCCCCAACCTGGTCCACTGGTATCTTGAGGATCAATAGAGTTCAAGAGGTACAAATTATACATTGGGCTTTCTTTTGGTGTCTTCTTCATCAAGCAAGGGTCCAATTCCCATTTTGGGAAGGTTTTTTTTGAGGGAAGATGTGCTTGTTGTCTGGTATGGGAAGAAGCTTGGTTTGAGAAAACTTGTTGCTAGCCAGTGATGTGGGAGTTGAGGTATTGATGAGCTCTCTTGAGCCATTTTATCTTTTTTTCTCCCAACATGACACTTTTTGGACTTGTGTGGATCTTGTTTTTGGAAATACAGCCTGTAGCTTAATAGATACAGGTGTTTCCAGAGTGACAAGACCCCTCCACTAGGGGACTTCCTGTCACAATTTAGAGAGCTTTTTAAACATCTCTGAGTCCTAAAGTAACCACAAAATCAAGGTTACCACCAGCGCAGATGAGAGCCATTGCTAGAGGGCTTCTGAAAACACTGGGGGTGTTTCCCAAAACATTTAGATCTGAGGGGTGTAAATTGACTTATGAGAGGGCTGTAGTTTGCAATGGGAATTCATCCACTATCAATGTAGGTTGTTGTTTAGAATATGCTTATACAAGTGATTAGAAAACACACAGTAAATCTGACAAATTTGGCTGAAATGAGTCAAAAATTAAGAAGATGAGGAAACTTAAAAGAAAAAAATCACAAGGCTAATGAATCACAATTATTTAACACACATATTTCCAAGCTGGTTATTTTTCTCTGTCTTACCAATTTCCCAGTTTTTCTTATTATGATATGTGCACCCTTGAACATCACGTTACTTTGGTATGCATTTAATCTCCTGTTTTTTAATGTGGGCATGGCTTCCGAAGAATTATGATGTAGGACGATTTAAGAAAATGTTACGATTTGATTTCGTGCTCTGCCAATAGCTGGGAACCAAGGAAGATAAAAAAGAACAGAAGTGGGTTAGTCAGATAGAATGCAGTCGGGCCGATGAGGTCCATGATGTACACACCATGTTTGGTATTCCGTCCTTGATGACAAAGATGTGTCCGCATGATGGACAGACCATGTTGCCCTCTTGGACATGTATCTAAATTCGTTCATTAGGTGCATCGGACAAAAAGTTTGAGAAAAAAAAAACAAGCTGTGGATGAGCGGCCGCGGGTCGATTCACCGACCTTAGAATTCGACAATACAAGGAAAGATTGAATGGTGCGGTACCTCTAGTAATGCATGATGTAGAGCCGCATAGGTTTCGTCTGGAATTGCGTCCGGGTTTTCGAAAGATTCTGGTGGGAACGAATCCGGGAGAGCTGCGTCGCCAAGCTGAAACAAAAAAATAAAATAAGAAAAAGGATGAGCAGTTGGTCGCGAATCGGAGCAGAAGATGTTGTGAAAGAGAGAAAAGACTGAACGGCTCGAGAGGCGTAAAGAAGGGCGTCAAAGTCGAGCTTGTTGAGGAAGCCTTTGATGAACTCCTTGTTGAGCTCGGCCTCCTTGATTTCGACCCGTTGGACCTGCTCGAACCGCAGCGGGAAATTCGTCGGTGCCGAGCAGTTCTTGGCATTGCAGGCCAGCAGGTTGTGGGTTATCAGCCGGACCATTCTTCTTCAAATTCTTCTCCGGTATTACTTAGAAAATGTGTGCTTCTTGCTTCTTGCCTCCGAAACTCGGTCAGTCCTGCCTAGGTTATGAATTTTCCTTGAAACTCCACCTCTCCGATTTTCTCAGTGAACGACTCGAAAATTTCTCAAATTGAATATGTACGCTCTCCCCGCGGAACATCTATGCAATTTGCGCTCCGCGGGCGCGCGGTCGGGGTATGGGCGAGCCCTGGGCCCTCCCTCTCGGGGTGCCCGCCGCCCAGCTACATTCTTCAGCTGGAGTGAAAAGTAAAACTCTTGGGGACCATCATCCACTTCACTCACTGCTTACAAGCCAACCGTTCCGCTAAAATGGCATCGAAACAAGCACAGAAGCGACTGATGAAAGTGAGTTCACATGCACGCGACTTCACCCTCCAAGTGGCAATCTATCCATAAACTACATCAACAGCTCCTCTCATTTGTCTGTGTCTGCCATCGGAAATGAACGTTTTTCTTACTTCTTTTTGCTGGGATCTGTAGGAGCATTCCGAAATCACCAAGTCACCTCCACCTTTTATCGTCGCGCGCCCTAAGGACACCAATATCCTGGAGTGGCATTATATCATTCGCGGTCCTCCTGATACTCCTTACACGGGCGGTGAATGTAAATTGACGATCACTCAAGGTGTCTTGTTTTTTGGTACTTCCTGACTGACCCCAACTTTTTTTTTCTATTTGGTGGTCCCGGATATAGTTTGGGGTACTGTGACCTTCCCGCCGGAATGTAAGGTTTTAAGGATGCCCTTAGCCCTTGTCCAACAATTTCCTCGCAGCAACAAATTGACAGGACATAGAAGGAAGCATGATTCTAATTCTATCACATTGCAGATCCGTTCAGGCCTCCAGCAATTGTCATGATGACTCCATCTGGTCGCTTTAACCCTGGATCCAAGATATGCACGAGCATGAGCGATTATCATCCAGATTCATGTGAGCTTTTCCTACACCACTATCGTCTTCAGAATCGTAGACTGATCGTTTTTTTGTTTTCCTGGTTGTGCATCTCTATCTCTCACTCAGGGAACCCAGCTTGGGGGGTCTCAACAATGTAATCCGTACCCCCTCCCCTTCGCCGATGGATACGCCTTCTGACTGATTGTTTTAATCGGTAGATTAACCGGATTACTCTCCTTTATGGTTTCGGAAGAGATCGCTACTGGTGCTGTGTCTGCTAGCTCTACAACGCGCAGAGATCTCGCTCGGCAGTCGCATTCATTCAACCTGTCAGTCTTGGTTTCTGATTTTTTTTTCTCTCTTCCTGCATCTTTTGTTGTGAGATTGATCTAGAACATGATTCTTTATGTCTTCTCATATGTGAAAGTTCTCACACGACGTTCAAGACAATCTTTCCAGAGTATTCCGACCCCAGTAAAATGGTCGACTTGCCCAACATGGGTTAAGTAAAGAAGCCTCCGTGCACTGCTCTCAACCTTGGGTTGATCTAGCTACCCCCAAAACTATACCTGCTTCAGCTCATCTCATGGTGGTCGTGACTTGCATTGCACAAGACGAGACATCCCTGCAAGCTCATTGACCCCATTTGGCAACGTTTGGCGTCGTCTTGATATCTTTGTGATCGGTTGGACCTCGAACCTGATTCCTTATATCTCTTTTTGATTATCTGAATGTATAACAAATCATAAAATCAACCCTCCTTAGGTATCACATTACGTTTTGTTACATTTTTTTCCCAGGAACACGGCTTGAATTAAAGTGGTTGTGGGCTTCCTCAAAAAAAAAAAAACAGCAAAACCAAAAAAACAACAAAATATGTCGGGTAGTGATGGTTTTTCTATTACCTGAAATGAAATTTTACTTTTTCTGATCTGTATTTGTTGAATGTCTTTGTGTCTTGGCTATCTGGGTCTCCCAACAACCATCTCACAAGTCTTGATTGAGTTACAACCCACATCCACCAAAGACACAGATTAGACTAGGGGACTGTTCAAAGTTGATAGAAATGTAAGGTTAGCAACACTTGTATGATCTTGCCCTAATTTTTGGCACATTGGGCTGCTTTCTCCTCACCATTGTTTCCTAGTACATGTGGCTCTCATTTGAAGTCCTGTCTTTGCTTCTAAGTTATGATGCTTCATCTTGACATTTGTGTTCTTGCTTGTCATCTGCTTTGGTGAGGTTGTTTGCAACATCTATCTCTCATGGTCTACTGCAATAGAGAGTGCTCAGTTATTAGAATCACCCACAATCTGAAGCCAGCTGGGAGCACAAGACTGACTTCATGTGCAAGTTCACAACCAGAGTTGGTGCCTGTCTGAGCTGTCTGGTAAGCCCCCTTCACTTTCCCTTACTTACATGGTGCCTCGTGCCAATCTTTTGTATACGATGTTTATAAATACATTTTATCTGTATGTAAATTAGTGGTTTCCAAAAAAAAATGTGAATCCTCTGTACTGCAAAAAGAACAGCAGGATTTGGGGTGCTTTGCAGGATCTCTTTTGTATTGCTTTTGCACTGTCACTGTTTCTGCTGGGCATCTGATCAAGTTTCTTGTACTTTGTAGTGGACCAAAAGTACAAAAACACTGCACTGCCCAGTTCCACTATAAAAAGCATATTCCCTGTTAAATGAGTGGTTTTTAGAAAGTGGTTTTTTTGAGCAAAATAGTACCAAAATCAGTGAAAGTGGTACAGAAGAAAGGATGCCAAAGATGAGAGGTGAAAAGGGGACAAAACATGCTTAAAGTAGAAACAATGACAAGAGTGCACAGACTGGAGTACTTCCCATAGCAATTTAGAGTGCTTTTTAGATCCCTCTCAGTCCTAAATTAACAACACAATTAAGATTTCAATCAGCTCAAATGAGAGCTTTTGCTAGAAGAAATAGATCCAAGGGGTGTAAATGTACTTCTGGGAGGGTTGTAGATTGCAACGGGAATTCATCCACTGAAATGGAGTGTCTGTATTGCTACACCGAGCTATGCAAAAAGTGCTGACATCAGCAGAACAGCACTTAGTACAGTGCTTTGCTGATCATGGCAATGGTGACTACACAACTTATTGGAGTATCATATAGAGTATGCTCACTGACTGTCTGAAATACAATGTAATCATTCCCTAATATATTGAAGTTCAGCTTGAATAGAAACATTGCACAACTACCAATTCAGATCTCACAGCTATCTGGACACTTGCTGTTATCTGGGAATACATCATCTTGTGCATTTAAGTTTACCTGTATATCCTGGCTTTTAACTTGTGATTTTTTAATTGTTTGTGGTTATAAGATGTTCTCTGGAAATTTTCAAATGTTTGACATCCCCACAAGTACATGTTCCTCATCAGTTAGTGTTAAGAATTTTCCAAATGGTCTTTCATATACTTTTCTTGGCTATTTTCTGGTAGACAGTCAGTATGGTGCTGTTTCAACGTGGGATTGAAGCAAATCATTCTCCCATAAATTGGTAAGTAAAGAGTCTGAGGCACAATGATTCATTAAATTTGAGCTGCTAGAAGAGAATTCAGGATGGAAAGGGTCGGCTCAGGGCTTTATGTTACATGTTCGATATGTAGTCAACCATGACAAATTGATAGGAAAGGATTCAGAGATGATATTATTTTTGGTGACAAGTAAAAAAAGAAGGCATTTTTCCATATCATTGTTGCTATGATAAATCCTAAGCCTTTTTTGCAAGACAGTCTTTGACATTAAAACGGGTCCTCTCTAAAAGGAAGGGGTGCAGGTTTCTTCCACAATTCTTTCAAAACTGTGAATACTTTTGCAATCCGGTCATCCATCTTTCCATGAATCTTGTCCAACGTTTTGCGGATACGTGCCCGAATAACCGAGTCAAGTCGAGTGATACTACCGCCTCTGGTAGAAGTTATCTCTGCAAAGACCAGAGCGTAATGGGCAAGATGTCCAGCCGATTGGTTGTCTACTCCGGACATAGTAGATATGTCTAATAGGGCCTTATCGAGTTTTTTCTGCAAAAGTTGGCTCATCTCTGCTTTCGGATCAAGAAGATTTCGCAACATGGCCCCATCTTTTGCATATTGTTTTTTGAGGTCGAGCAGTGCTGGGTATTGATTAAGGTGCGTATCGATACCTGCTTTTCCTGTGTCAGTGTTGCAAAGTCCGTCCCATTCGAGGTTTGCCGTGGGTTGAAAATAATCAGAAAGATCCATTTATTTATTCTTGTGATCTCCCGAACAGACAAGAAGAGCAACAAGCTTATCACTAAAGTTAACTTACCATTTTGAAGCCAGATACTAATCGTCTCTTTGTCTTGACCTACAGATAATCAAGCGATGATGGGCGAAAATGTCAAATTGAAACTGATTCAGTCACATCTGAGCTTGTGGGATCACTTGGAAAAACAAGAATCACGATTTTATGAGTGTCGATCAATTGAAATAACACTAACAAAGAGAGTCGATCCAGCTGCGTTGCTTATATTCCGATGCCAGTGGAACTTGGGTTTGTAAATTAGATTCCGTTTTTAACACCGAGCCTTTACGACGAAAGCTTCCGAGGAAACTACCAGTGCAACCCACTGAATTTGTTTAGAATGCAAAAAAGACGGCGGAAATTTCATCAATTCAAAGAAATGTCGAAGATTCTAAATGTCAGTAGATTCATCAAATTGATCATTGGAGTGAGCTTATATTGCGAAAATAAATGTCATATCCAACGAGTAAAAAGTATAGTTAAATATTTCAAAGTCTTGCCGAATCAAGCTTGCCAGTATGGCAAAAGCCAAAGTCTTCAAATATAACCCACCTTTCGCTGTGTCCAACTCTCCTGAACTTTTGCCTTCCTCAAGAAGCCGAACAGACATAATACTTTCCGGAGACGTAGCAATAGCTGAATAATGAATAAACTGAGCCGTTACCAGTAACGCCAGAAAGAAACTTGAAATCATGTCCGAAGTTCTTTTATATCGTTTTGAGGTTAACAGTTCTAGAGGATTGGAGGAGAGATTTTTACCGTAAGCGCGAGAATGGGGCTAGCACTGAGCAGGTCGACGAGGTGGCTTGTGCTAGAGACAACGGGCTGAAAGTGGAAGGGCTAATTTATGCTAGAACATATTGGACTGTCAGGAGTGGGTCTCGCTCCGTGGTTTCCAATGCCTGTGGGGTAAAAACCTTGTGATCAAATGTTTCTATCTGTGAGCACAACCGTATAGGGTATCCTGCAAGTTCCACACATATTTACTATATTATTTTCTTGTGAAACGGCAGACCAAAAGCGACAACAAGACCAGACTCTAATATAAATATGTAGTTTGGTGCTAGAAACGGGGTTTTACTTGGTGTATATATCGGCGACCTTATCGGATAGGACCTGATGGGACCTAATCCGCCAGGCGGTACATGCAATACAGCCATACGAGCGCTGTCCCAGAGCCCCTGCCGGGGTCCATCTTTATAATTACTGAGACTCAGGACCTTCAGTGCTCTAGCAAGTATTACTTGATAGGCCGCGGCTCCGGACACACGTTGATTTTGCGGAAGGCCAGACTGTGGACGTTGCAAGGTTTAGTAGAGTCAGAGAGCTTGGCGGTGACCCAACACGTGCGAAGGGTCTGCTGACTTAGTGACTGGTCAAGCCGGCACAAAGCAAAGCTAACCAGGTGACCTCACGTTGAACCTGAATTTTCTCCGAACATGGTGAGCTTGTAATCAGTGGCAGAAGAAGAAGAAGAAGGCAAGGCTGATCATTCAGAGGATGTTCATTGAGACTTCCATTTCGATGAACAAAGAGGTTCCCACTGATGATTGGTCACTGAATGAATACGGACATACCTGGGCTTCATTCCCTCCCAAGTTCTCTCCTAAGAGCCAATGACACCCATGATGGCTAGCCTTCTTTTATTTTCTGACTTGCTAAACACAGGGTAGGAGTGTTGCAGGGGACACAGGCTGAGGAAACAGAAGTCACAGATGGAGGTCTTGTGACTAAGGACTGAGAAAAAAAGATAAATATGTTTTAGATTCAGTGACTCAAGTGCAGCTGGATCAGTGGATGACTTCCCGTTGGCATTTACAACCCTTGCAGAATTTGATTTACACCATGAAGGTCTTAATTTTTGGCAAAAAATCTTTCTTCAGAAACCTTGTTATAGTGAAGATGTGAGCTAGTTGTGGTTGTGATTAGAGTGTTGATTTAGAACTGAGAGAGGTCTAAAAAACACTCTAAATCACGACAAGAAGTCATCTAGTGTCATCATAGACTAAAAGAACTTAATACAAGGAATGTTTGATAAAAAACAAATATGAGCCTCTCAACCATTAGCTTCCCATCAAGTCAATATCTGCAGGTCTTGAAGAAGTGTTTTACAGCCTTGGAGTTGAAAGATAGATTTCCCAACAAAATTCAAGATTTTTTGGGTCTAAATTGACATCTGCAAGGGTCCCAGATCTGACAGGAGGTCCTCTGGTTCCCATCTTTATTTCTGATGTTTGTTTTTATTTTAGGGGCTTGGTTGATTGACTCCCAAAAATTGGACAGTCAACTCCCAAACCCTGTTTTCCCCAAATTTTGGCAGTCACTTCTCCAAACCCATCAGCGGGTTTGCGAGTTGTACAGTGCCTAGACAGTGAAAAGTGGCTGCGTATTTTGGATTCCAGAGCTCCAGAGCACAAATTTGAAATCATGAGAGTTGGTCAGGTGGTGCCTAATAGGTCCCAAAAAATGAATATGAAATAATAAAAGCAAAAAATAAAGTTTCAAAATGTGTGAAAAATAAAAAATAAGGTTGATTTTTTTTCAAAAGCTTTGATATTCATTTTGGGGGAGTGGGAGTGCTGAGAGAAAGAAAGATTGGGAAATGAGAAGAATGATTATGAATGAAAATTTTGGAAAAACTGGTTTTCAGATGGCTTCAAACAGCTGTTGAGTGGGGCATTCACCAGCCCACATTGCAGCAAAGCACTAGAATTTACTGTTTTGGCTCCAATCTGGACCACCAACCTGGCCAAACCTTTTTTGGTTCCAATTTTTTTCATTTATAATCATTCTTCCCATGTTCCATTCTTTCTTTCTCTCAGCACTCCCACTCCCTCAAAATGAATATTAAAGCTTTTGAAAAAAAATCAAGTTTATTTTTTATTTTTCACAAATTTTCAAACTTTATTTTTTGCTTTTATTATTTCATATTCATTTTTTGGGAGCTATTATGCACCACCTGACCAAGTCTTATGACTTCAAATTTGTGTTTCAGAGCTCTGGAATTCAAAATAAGCAGCCACTTTTCACTGTCTACCCACTGTACCCCCAAAATTTCCAATTAAACCAACCAGGGTTTTGGGGGGTTGATGAACCAAAATGACACCACAGCAATGGCCAGGAGGGATCCTCCCAGCCGCTGAGAGTAAACTCCCAACAGCCAAGGGAGGAATCCCCTTGGCCATCAAGAGTGCATGCTCTCTCAATGGCCAAGAGAAGCCCTCTTGGCCATCAGGAGTGTACACTCTCAACAGCTGGGGGAAACTCTCAGAGAACCCCCTCTTGTCCATCAAGAGTGGCTGTTGAGAGCGTACACTCTCACCAGCCAAGAGAAACCCTCTGGGCCATCAGGAGTTCACACTCTCAATGGCTGAGAGAATTTTTCTTGGCCATTGAGAGTGTATATTCTCAATGGCTGAGAGGATTCCTCGCAACCATCAAGGTGTGCATTCTCAATGACAACAGCCAAGAGTTACACTCTTGGCTGTCAATGTGTGCACTCTCAGTGGCCAAGAGTTGTAACTCTTGGCTGTCAATGTGTGCACTCTCAGTGGCCAAGATGTACACTCTCAGCCGTTGAGAGTGTATACCCTCAACAGCCAAGAGCACTCTTGACAACCAAGAGGAACCTTCTTGGCTGTCAAGAAATGCTCTCAACAAATCCTTGAACCTACACCCCAATCACAAACAGATCAAAACTCAGAAGAATGCAATCTAAACTTTCTCTTTTATGGCTACAACTTCCTCTGTGAACAGTCTTCACGGTCAAAGGGGTTGTATCGGTTACAACTTACAACCCCCTGCAATAATGTTGCCGCAAGGCGACTGATATAACATCAGTCTCCTTGACCGATGTTATATTGGCCAGGCCCCTTGATCCATTTTTCCTTTGTTCTAATGTATTGGTGGGCCCAACCGATATAAAATCGGTCAATAAGACCGATCTTATATCAGTTGCCTCCGGGCAACCTTATCGCGGGGGGTTGTAACCGATACAACCCCTTTTGAAGTCCTTCAGGCTCAATTGGTTGGGACCACTCAAAATTCACCACCACTGCAAATCATTCATTGACCAGGGATGAGCTCATTCTATCTCTTCTACAAATGGCCTCTATGATTACCTCTTCAAAATACCTGTTTTCTTTTCCTAAAAAAAAAAAACAATGTGACTGATCAAACAAGTATCAAAATGATTACCTTTTTGTGTATTTTTGGAAAGAAGTGTCAATGATCAAACTGAAGTCATGTATTCCTGATGGGTATAACTTTATGGTAACATCCAATTTTCTCAAAGATCAACAGATCATTTTGAATATTGTAATTAGACATATTCTTTCAATTAACGTTTTACAGCTTATTTCTCATCATTACCTGACATTTTAATTTCTTTTCCTACAATTTCAGACATTTTAAAAATCAAGGTAACACTCATTTTGCATAAAACTGAAAGCTCTTTCTTGAATATTGCATTTGACGTGTATTTTTAATTAATTTTGACAGGCCTAATCTTCATTATTTTTTGAGATTTTAGATTCATTTCCTATAATTTGAGAGGCTTCAAAATTGATAGATTGAAGATTGAATTTTTGGGAAATATGAATGATACCATAAAGCTTGGGGCTTGGAAAAACGACTCCCAAATTTTAGTCGGCGACTCCCGTTTTGGTCGGGAGGTTGTCAAACGGGAGTCGTTATTCCAATTCCCAAAAAAACATAGGGAGTCGTCGCATTAATTTTACCTGGAGAATTTTTATTTTTTTTATTAAAAAAATAGGGAGTCGTCTGCCTAAAGTGCGGGAGTCGTCGCATTAATTTTACCTGGAGAATTTTTATTTTTTTTATTAAAAAATTAGGGAGTCGTCTGCCTAAAGTGCGGGAGTCGGCGCACCAATTCCGCCTAATATTTCGCCCTTTTTTATATTTAAATTGACGGGAGTCGTCCACCTAATACGAGGGAGTCGTCGCACCAATTCCGCCAAATGTTTGCCTTTTTTTTCTATATTAAAAAAAGACGGGAGTCGTCCAACTAGAAATGGGAGTCGTCACCATATGGCACCCTCAGAGACTCCAAAAAAAGGTTGAGCCACTGAGGCCCCACCCCAAAGGCAATTTATCAATGATAAAAAAACTAGATTGATTGAGAAAAACCATTGCAAGAGATAAAAGAGATGACAAACGGGCCAAAAATATTCAAAAATGATCAGAAAAGTAAGAAAAAAAAAAGGGTAAAAAAGGACATAGAGGAAAAAAATCAAAAACTAAAAAAGACACAGGATAAAAAAAACCCTAGTGGTGTTTTATTGGATTTTCTATTTTCCTCTCTACAGTCAATTTGAAAGAATCAGAAAATTGGGCTTCCCATCCCCAAGCCTCTTCTGACGCCTTTTCTTTCTACTCCTTCATGAGCTGAGGGGCAGCAAACAGTCTTGGGTTATGTAACTGCAAGGGGACAAAATGAGAAAATTCATGTAGAAAAGCAATAAAAATAGGGGGGGGGGCAGAAAGAAGGAAGAAAAGTCTGGCAAAAGGCGTCAGAAAAAAAGCAAACAGGCCTCTCAAAGGCATTTGCCATTACCTCACCCGTTGAAGGCATGGACATCCAATGAGGCTTTGAACAAGGTGATGGCAAATCAACCTTGATACAATCCAAAGC